CTGATGAATTTGTTTCTATCCTAATCTGTTTCACGTTGTAAATTTAGAATAACTTTTTGGTTTCGTTATTTCTCGCCTGCTTACTCTAAGTTAAACTATATGCATAGTCATAGAAAATTCGAACTGGTGTTATGGTAATTTTAGCTTAATAGAGTTCAACGAGTGGCTTTAGCTAATTTTGTGGAAAAGCTAATGAGAGGCTATATATGATTGAAAGGGTTCGTTTTCCATGCTACAACTATGGCTTTAGAAGATGTGGAACAAGATGATCAATGTTAAAGTGAATGTTATTATTTAATCATCTAATATGACAGCTCAAATCAGAGTTCACTTGCATGATCTAGTCTTTGCTTCCCGAAATTCGCTACTTGAAATAAAGAACAGTTTGGATGTGATCATGTGCTTGCTTTTTGAAATGTCATATTTTTTTTCCCATTTTTTGCAAAATATGTTGGGACTGAGATTTGTCTACCTAGGAGTCATTTCAAGATTTAACCGGCAGCAAATTTGACTGGCCGGACCATTCTAATCTTCGCCAAGTGAATCATATTTTTTTGCCATACGACTCTTTCATAGTGAAAATGAGACGCATCTATTGCTACAATGCAGATACTTTTTGCTCTCATCGGTGATAAATGTGATATATTACATTGCCTTTTACTATCGGTGATAACTTGGCATTTATGAACTGTATCAAGGTTTACCTTTTTTTTACTGTTTTCTACGTTTATATTCTGAGCGCGAAACTAGCTCCTGGCTTTCATTGCTCTACTTGGTGCTGTTTGGATAATGATTGTGATCATATTAAAATCACAATCCCTTATCAAATTTCCAGGGACAGCATCTGGGAAAAAAATTATAATAAGCTTAGGAAATCATCTAGGAATCAGTTGGCCTCACTAAAATCTTCTAACTTCCTTTTAGAATATTGGAGAGTCATAACATTTAACTCTTGTGGGAGAAATACATTTATTATTGAGCATTCAAGTACCTTTGTCAATACTCGGATTTTTAATTGCACATTAATCATTTTAAGCCTAGTTCTCCATACCAGGTCAAGAAAAAATGACGGAATTAAAGGACACACCCTTGCATGAACTTGATCTGATTTTTCTTAGCCAAATGCCACAATGAACCGTTCCTTTCTGCATGCGTCTAAAAACTTGCATGCATTGGACCATCTCTTCCCCACATTCGCTTTATTTTTCCATTACGCGGGCTACTTTGTAGTGCATCTGAAATTTATTGTTTACTTCCAATGTGGGGTTACTCTATCATGAGACAAGTCTAACAGCAGGGCCTTCATGAAATATGACTATAAAAATAAAATGGCGCAGCAGAAGAGTAAGAACAGAGCAAGAGGTGGTAGGCCCAGTGACAGATGTAGTGAACACCAAGATCTAGAATGTGACGAGAAAGGTGAAAATGAAATAGATGCAATAAATTCTCAGAAGAACATATAATAATAGAGGAGGAGAGAAGATAAATCAATTGGCAAAAACCAATAGAAGAAACGAGGAGAATAAAGTTGGTAAGAAAGAGAATATGGTTCTATTTATAAAGAGAGAGAGAGAGAGAGAGAGAGAGAGAGAGAGGAAAGAAAGTGGAGATCCACAGTAGTAGAGGGTAGTTGAGATTCCGAAAAATAGAGAGACCTAACTGCCCTCAAGACTCTCTCCTATCTGTAATCATAGGCTGAAGAACCTCTAGATTCTCCTCTGACATGGGCTGAGTTCGCCTCGCTTCTGCTCCAACAACGTGCTGAACTAGTCAACCCTTCAGTGACAGATGTGCATGAGGAGGAAATGGAAGGAGATCGTAGATTCCGCCGACAATATCACCTAAAACTTCCACGTAAGCCTCTCCCTCATCCTTAATGGAAACATTGGACTTTGCTCATCCACCTGCCGAAGATCCTTGCCTAACGTGGAGGGTTCTCTGCAGGATCCCGCCAAGAGTTATCTGATTCCGTAAATTCTAGTCTTCTATCATAACTCTCCACCCTTCGTATGTTCTTCCTCGAATTCGTCTTCTTGTTTGCCGGTTCAGTCATTCATTCTTAGCTTCTGAATATCACTTTTCCGGGAACCACGCTTTGAATTATCTTCTTTGAAGAATTTTCAGTGGGGTATTTTTCTTATAGATAAATACAGTTTTTCAATTTGATTACATGATTTCTGGGGGATTTCTTTTTCACATGGATATAATATAAGAAGAAAATTATGACATGAGCTTAGTGTGGATTCAATTTCTAAGGCCGAAAATGTTAATTAATCAGAACCACGTGCATTAAATAATGGGGACCGAATGCCTTCGAGCGCCAAAAAACTGGAAATTGTATACAAAATTAAGGCGTCAGAAGTGGAGACCTTCGCTAGATGGATGAGGCCTTGCCTCTGCTTGCCGTCCGCGCTGATCGTACAGCAGAACTCTGCGATCACCTTCACGGCGTGGGGTCAGCTCCGGCATCCGGCCCGCGGGAAAGAGCTCGCGTGGAGAAAGAAGAGGCGGGTGGCGGCGGAGCGAAGGGAGCTTTTAGGGGGTTACCTGCGAGTGGAGGTCGATGGCTCTGTATCGCATCCGCTTGAAGGTCTTCTTTCCGATCACCTCTCAGGCGAGGACGACAAGCGGCCGGAAGGTGCCCTTCCCTTCGCTCACTTTCTACATCTGTCGAAATGAGCTGTGCAATTCAGAAGGAGCTGAACTTTCATGAGAAGAAAATTCGGAGAATGGGGGAGGATAAAGAAAGGGGGAGTGGGATAAGAAAAGGCTAAATGCTTAAAATACATTGAATACACTACAACCTGAAAATAATTTTAAATTATAAAAAAACTGGGCTTGACTATTAGAAATTGAATGTAGAAAGTATGTTTGATTGCGTTCATTGATATTTGTTGTTCTGAAAATAACATAAATATGTTATGCCTCTTAAAGGAATGTTGGATTCATTTTCTAGAACTTTGTGTTTGAGTGACAAATAAGTACAGAAATGAGGAATTTTCAAGTTCAATTTCTATTTTTATTTAGTCTTATCCTCTATTTCGCTTATTACTACTCCATTTGACCCTTCCACTTATTTAAGATTTACTAACATCAAAAAGGGGGAGATTGAAGGCTTTGGCAAGCCTAAAGTACTTTGATGATGGCTACATACATGTAAAGGTATTTTATTAACCTCACGTGTTATGAAATTCAATATAATTTGAAATTCACTTCAATGATGAGAAGACATTGTGTTAGCATGCAAATTTTGATTGTTATCCTCAGCCTATTCTCGAAGATGATATTATTTACAATCAAATAGCTCACAAACATGAAAAGATAGATGAAAATCAAATGTAGTTAAATTTTCTTCATCAATTCACCTATTCATCAAATATGGGAAAAATGTTCATGGTGAAATTTTATCTTTATTCTCCTAAGATAAAATGAGTGGTGTGTCTAAATCACACAATTGAGCATAGTAGTCAGCTTTAGCCTATCTAGGTTCATACTCAAAACCTTGTAATCAGCCTTGAAGTTCCTAGTGTGCTCAAGATTTTGAGATTTATAGAAATCAATTAAAATAGCGGCTCAAGAAAATTAAGATGGTAAGAAGTTAAAATTATGATAGAATCAATTCAAACTTTCTTGATCTTAGTGTGAGTATAAATCCAATAGACAAAAGGTTCCCTTAGAAAATATTTAATTGATCAAATCTCAACCATCTAAATTGCAACAATTGAAATCATTTTTTCTCTATAGAAAACAAACTAAAGTCTTGCATACCAGCTTGATCCATTTGTGTCTCAATCAGCATTATCTTTCTAGTAGTCCAATTATCAAAACTTTTTTATGCATTCATATGCTCACTAAATCAATTAATTTCATAAATTTATATATAAAGAAAGTTTCTTTATGTAATAATGGGAAGATAACCCTATGTTGCATGTCATGTAAGCGTGATTTACTTATCCCATGAATTTCAAACACTATTTTCTCTTATAAACAATAGAAAAAGAATCAGTGGTAAGTAGATGTAGACTAAGGTTATACCACCATAAAAGGATCTTCATTTCTTATTGGTATGCATTATCTAGAGCTAGTGTTTTAACTCAACTTACTCAACCCAATTATCTAGAACACCAGAAAATTAGGAATTATTAGAGAGCTAATTCACACACCTCTCCTCTTAGCATGATATTTAGCCAACTTTGGGAACAGCAATCTCTTGTTCTCGCATCATCATAATTGTAATTCTTCCTAGAGTTTTTATTGTTTCTACATAAGATTGTGCCATATTTAAAAATTTGAGAAAATAATGGAGATTTTCAAATCATGAAAATCAATCTATTATTTATCATAAGTTGACGGATGAAATTCATTTTACCCTGATTCCAAAATTAATGAATTGGACGATTTCAAGAGCCAATATTTTCACACGAGATGTAAGATAAAATTAAGAAAATATGGATTTAGCAGCCCTTAAAGCAGCTTGGTGAAAATGTCACGGGGTCAAGGTCGGCCCACCTCGATTCTCGCCCCGAACGGGCCTTGGTCACCCTCCGGCACCAGGCATCTCTTCACGACGCGCAGTAGACTTTTCTTCATCAATGGATAATGTATTCTCTCTCATAGGATCGGAGAAGGCTGAGGTTGAAGGGCCCGCTTCACATTTCCACGCTCGAATCCCCTCTCCATTTAAAGGGGAATGCTCTCCCATGACTTTCCTGTTTCTGGGCCTAATAGGCCACGCTCGATCTGGGCTACCACCCCTTTCTCTGCGTTCTTCTCCGCAACGGGAGAAAGTGCGTCGAATAGTTTCCACGCCCACAACCGTCCTCCGGTCCGCTATCGCCTGATTCGACCCATCCGAAACCCAATCCCCCGCTCCATCGCGTGCTGACGTCTGAAGCCCAGGCCCGGTAATCTTGTTGCTCCGAGTGTTCCGGCCTTTGGACTGAAGCCCAATGAAGGCCCAATGAACGACTGTTTTCTCTTGGTCAAGCCCAGAAGATGAGATGGGCCGAATGAAAAATAGGGTTTTGAGAAAACTAATATTTATTAAAATCGTTGGCAAGGAAAAAGGAAATAACGGGATAACTGGCAAACAGCGGTGGGGAAAAAGAAAAGAAGAACCCTCTCACACCTTGGCAAATATTAATTTTGCACTTTCTGCTCTCGCATATATATGTACAGAAAAAAAGAAAAACAGGAATCCCTACCCCACCGCCCTCCCTTTCCCCCGAGAGCTCATCTCAGCAAATGTCACTCTAGGCCCAAACATGTGGTCAATCGATGCCGGTGGAGAGGAGACTTTTCAAGTCAACGGGGATGCCTGGAACAGACACCTGGACGGCGCTCGCTTCATCCGTATCTCCCCGATCGGCTACTTCTTAAACACGGCGAGCTTGCCGACGGTGATGGTGCCGAACGGCTCGGAGAGGTAAGCTTGGGTTCGGGCAGAGATCTCCTGAGCCACGAACCTCATGGTGGGTCGAGCCTCCGGGTCCTCGTTGGTGCAGGCCAGGGCCATCTTGACCACGAACACGACCTCCTCCGCCAGCTGCCCCGTCGGAGGGGACAGGCGCTGGTCGAGGACGTCCTTCAACAGCAGCGCCTCGCCGTCAGCGGAGGAGGACAGGGAGGCCATCAGGTCCGCCGGGTGCTTCCCCAGCATGACTTCCAGCGCCACCACCCCGAAGCTGTACACGTCGCACTTCTCCGTCACCTTCATCGTGAACGCTAGCTCTGCACGGCAACCACCCGGGGAGTCAGGCTTGGTCAACACCAAAGGAACCGACCGCAGGACTTAGGATATGTGCGGGGACGGCGACCGTCTCTTTGGTTTTACCTGGAGCCATGTAGCCGTAGGAGCCGGCGACGCCGGTCCAGTTGGAGGAATCAGCGAACAGGAGCTTGGCGGTGCCGAAGTCGGACAGCCGCGGCTCGAAGTCGGCTTCCAAAAGGATATTGCTTGTCTTCACGTCGCGGTGGGCAATGGGGGGGGAGTGGTCGTGGTGGAGATAGGAGAGGGCGTGGGCCACCCCCCGGACAACTCGGACTCTGGCCCCCCAATCGAACTTCCCGCCCACGCCGCCTTCCTCCCCGTAGAGCACCTTCTGCAGGCTTCCCTTCTCCAGGTACTCGTAGACCAAGTACATGCGGCCGGAACTCGAGCAGGAGCCGTGCAGCTTGACGATGTTCCGGTGGCGGACCTCCGTCAGCGCCCGGATCTCGTTCTCGAAGTTCCTCAGGCTGGCCTCCGGGATGTCTGACGACTCCGCTAGGCTGAGACGTTTGACGGCCACGACCTGCCCCGTGGGGAGCTTCGCCCTGTAGACGGTGCCGAATCCCCCCTTGCCGATGCAGAAGGCCTCAGCAAAGTTGTCGGTGGCGTGGACTATGTCGATGAAGGTGAACTTCCCCTCCCTCTCCCACGCGACCGATTTGTAATTCTCCCCGCGGTGGCCGACCGCCTCGAGGACATTCCGCCCTCGCCTACGGCGGTAGAAGAAGATCACAGCAGTGAAGACGACGATGACGACAACCGAGAAGGCCACGGGGACAGCGACGGGGACGGTGATCTTCCAGCTGTTATTGTCTTTCTTCCTAGTGGAATTAGTTTCACAGGCGGGCAACCCGGCGATGTCTCCACAGAGCGAGTTCCCAGCGAAAGTCTCGGCAGAGGCGTTCCGGAAGACGTCCCAGCTCGGTACGCGTCCCGTCAGATTGTTGTAGGAGAAATCCACAGAGTTTAAGCTTACCATGCCGGAGAAACTGTTGGGTATTGAGCCGGAGAGGTGATTGTGGGATACGTTGAGGACCTCCAGATTGATCAGCTTGCCTAAGTTAGATGGTAGGGGGCCGGAGAGGGAATTATTGCTGAGATCCAGTAACATCTGCAGACTGACCAGGTTCCCGAGCTCATCTGGTATTCTTCCCGTGAGATTGTTGTCGCTCAGATCCAGCGCCTGTAGTTTATCGAGTGCGCCGAGCTGGGCAGGAATTAAGCCGAGAAGCCTGTTGCCGGATAAATCCAGCTGTCGGAGCTCGGAGAGGTCGCCGATCGCCGGAGGAATCTCGCCGGAGATCCGATTGTGGCTCAGGTTGAGACTAAACACCTTGCTCGAATTGCCCAGGAGGGGGGGAATCTCTCCTGTGAGGAGATTGGAAGATAAATCCACGTTTCGTAGCTCTGGCAAGCTCAAAAGCACCGAAGGGATCTTCCCGGTGATTCTATTGCCACCAAGCAGAAGAGATTCGAGCTTCACGCATCGTCCCCAATCCGGCGAGAGCTCGCCGGTCAACTGGTTTCCCGTGAGTTCCAGGTACCGCAACTCCGGATGTACGCCAAATACTTCCGCTATGTCCCCGGTGAAGTGGTTCGAGTGCAGGCGGACCCTCTGGAGCTTCGAACAATTCCGCAGGCAGCTTGGGAGTCGTCCGGTGAAGTTGTTCTCGGATGCAGTGAAGTGTACTAACCCGTAGCCTTTGCACAAGTCTTGCGGCAGTTCGCCGGATAATCTGTTGATCGAGAAGCTCACGTTGGCTAACAGCCCATTCTTCCCCAAATCGGGTGGGACTCTGCCTCTGAAGCTGTTCTTGTAAAGGAATAAGAAATAAAGATTCTTGAGTTTGGTGATGCTTGTGGGAATCTCCCCGCTGAGCTGGTTGGTGTCGAGGTCTATTGACTGGAGAGCCGTCATGTTTCCGATCTCTTCTGGGATCGGGCCCGTGAGATTATTTACTTGCAGGAGCAGCTTGGTAAGCCGCTGAAGCTTTACGATGGTAGGTGGGATCTGTCCGCTGAGCGAGTTGTCAGAGAAATCGATCGATTCCAGATTTATCAAATTCCCGATCTCCAGGGGGATGGATCCTGTTAGCTTGTTCGAGTAGAGGAACAGGGTCGTGAGGTTCCTCGCCAGTCCGATCTCGGGAGGAATCAGACCGGTGAAGGAATTATTTTGAATTTGGAATGATCTAAGGAGAGTCCAATTGCGGAAGAAGACCGCCGGAATCTCGCCGGAGAGAAGATTGTCCGAGACGCCGAATTCCGACATTGCCCCAATGCCCGCGAGGGAAAGCGGCAACTCTCCCGTCAGCTGGTTGCCGGACAGTTCGAGGTAGCTAAGGTTCCTGCAACTTCCCAGACCTGTCGGGATGGAAGAATTCAATGCGGCCTTGTTGAGAACCAGTTTCTCGAGCAGCCGGAGATTCCCCAAGGAAGAAGGGATCGGGCCGCCCAAGGGATTTTGGTCGAGCTCTAGTATCCGAAGGCCGGGAATAGAACCCAGAGAAGGCTGAATCCCCCCGGTGAAGTTGTTCTCCCCGAGACTGAGCTCTTCAAGCCTGGTAAGGCTGGAAATGGAGGCCGGTATTTGTCCCGTGAACTTGTTCTCGTAGAGGTAGAGGATCTCGAGCATCGTCAGATTTCCGGCCACTGTGTCAAGGATCGGGCCGGTGAATTCGTTCTGCGAGAGGTCAAGGTAGCTCAACTTGCGGAGACGGCTTATCTGGCGCGGGACCTGTCCCCCGAGTTTGTTATGGGAGAGGTCTAACTCGAGGATCTCCGAGAGCTGAGAGATCTCCGGGGGCAGAGTACCGTTGAAAAAGTTGTTGCTCAGATCGAGGTAGGAGAGCTTGGACAGCACCGAGATGTTGGCGGGAATGGAACCAGTCAGCTTGTTGTTGGCGAGGTTGAGGCGAATGAGATTGCGTAACGACGGGAAATCGAGATTAGCCATGGTTCCAGTAAGCTTATGGTCGGCCAACTTGATCCCGACAACGCTGCTGCGGGCGGAGTTGCAGGTGATGCCGGACCAGCTGCAGGGGCTGGCGGCGGAAGCGTTGAGGCCCAGCCTCCAAGAGGCCAGCGACGGCGCGGGATCCAAGCTGGCCTTCCATCTCACGAGCGCCTCGGCCTCCGTCGCCCCCGCCGCCGCTGGCAGTGAGCGGCACAGAGAGAAGGCGACCACTAGGAGGAGGAACATGAGAAAAGGCGTGGGTTTCTGCTCAACCTGGAGGAACATCTAATCTGTCAGTAAACGTCGCCCTGATGGTAGTAGGCGGGGATTAAGCAACCGCAGTACCACCGAGGAGGAGGCTGTCAGCAAGCCTGGGAAGCAGGGAAGGAAGGAAGGAAAAAGGCGAACCCTTGAAAAGGGCAATAAACGCCGATCGTGTGGATGTCAATCCCTCACACGGTCGAGACGTGATATTCTCGGCATGGGGCCCTCTCCTTTGGTAACTTTTGTCAAACGGTGTTTTAATTCTCTTAAAAATCGTCCGAGCAATTGATGAAACCACCGCGCTACGGCCGTGGGCGGGGAAGGGGGGCGTCGTTGTACTAACTAAATGAAACCCATTAAATTCGGTCAGAAGAACGGAGTCAGACGAACGGGATGTCTCAGAGTTTGACTAAGAAATTGAAGGAATCCAGGGATTACCTACCGTTTATAAGTTCGCCTCTAGTCAACTCAAACAGCCCTTACAGCCATCGTTTTCTATGAGACGCGTTCCGGGCCGCTGACTTTCAATGATACGCGTTCGATCCGGGGGATTATCGGATAAGCTTGGGCCCATTACCAGGATCACAGCCGCCGCACCGGCGACGGCATTTACCATATTTTCAGCCAGCCTCTTATTTGCGCGCGTCAATTCCGGGATCAGTATGCAGTCTAATCAACTACTAACACGTAATGCATTATAGCGGACCCACCTCACACGCCCCGTCTCCACCATGCAGAACGCCGCCCGTTCTTCTTCATGTGAAAGGCCGTAATATCCTATGCTCTTCGGGGCTCCACACCTGCTTCATCACGAGAGAGACAGATACAGATACGGATGCACTACGGATAAATCCACGACTGGAGAACTGAGGAAAGACAGTGAGAGAAAGCGAACACTGGGATGTTGACGAGAAGAAAGGAGACGAAGTCGGGGGATGTTGATTCTTACGCATGTGCAGCTAAACGGTCGTCTCGCCCGGTCCCACTGCGTCACTTCTGAAACCTCCGGAGCTGGCTCGGAGGTGGGTGGAAGGGCCCGAGGCGCGAGCCGACGGGGAGAAAACTTTGGCCTAGAAAAGTCGTCGCCAGGGGACTGCGTCTGTGGCTCGAGTCTGCTCATCCTGGACCAACGAAGCCAATCGAGAAAAGCCCCAATAACTTACGTGGAAAACGGGGCCTCGCCCTCCCCGCCATTGAGACGATCAGATTCGGCGAACTCGCGGGACGCCAACCGACGTGATGCGGAGGAGGAAGGCCTCTGGATCTTAATCTCCTACTGCATCACTCTACGGGACAAGACAGATTGTGGTAGAGGAAGTAAGATCTACAGGAGAGGGAGAAAGAGGAGGGGTTCGCGGGGATTCGACGGCTGCTCGCCGTCTATACGCTCTGAAGTAATCAGCTTTAATCCATCTAGAGTCATACTAGAACCTTGTAATCAGTTTTAAAGTTCCTAGTGTCCTCAGGATTTACAGATTTATATAAATAAAGAATGAAAAGAAAGAGTCAAGAAAATTAAGATGACAAGAGGTCAAAATTTGCGTACAATCAATTCAAACTTTCTTAATCTTATTACGGTTTTAAATCCAATGGTCACAGGGGTACTCTTAGAAAATATTTAATTGATCAAATCTCAACCATTTCAGTTCCAACAATTAAAAGTATTTTTATTTGATAAAAACCCCCTATTGAAGACTTTCGATAGATATATATATATATATCTTCCACACCAATTTGATCCATTTGCATCTCAATCAGCATTATCTTTCTAGTAGTGCAAGTATGACAAAACGTTCTGAAAGATTCATGTACTCACAAAATCTATTAGTTTTATGTGTTTATGTGTAAATAAATAAAAAGAACGTGTATTTGTGTATCCAGTTGGAGATAATACTATGATATAGGTCATGCACGGGTAATTTACTGATCTCATAAATTTCAACTACTACTTTCTCTTATAAAATGGTAGAAATCTACAATAAGAACCAATGGCAAGCAGAGTAAGGTTGAACCATTTTAAAATAATGTCTCTATTTCTTATTGTTGTGCATCATTTACGCCTATGTGTTAACCTAACTTTGCTTGCTGATTTAGCACAGATGTAAAAATATCTAGAACATGACAAACTATGAATTCTTTAAACACTTAATTTACATACCTCTATTATTGGCATCATATTTAGCCTACCTTGAGGCCAGCAACCTCTTGCTTTTGCATCATCTTATATGCAATTCTTCTCAGAATTTTTATTTTTTCTGCATAAGATTGTGTGAGATTTAAAAATCTGAGGAAATAACATAGATTTTCAAATCATCAAAAATCAATCTGTTGCTTTCAACAAAGAGAGTATTGATATGTGTGTGTGTGTGTGTGTGTTGCTTGGTGATTTTTAGGTATGTTACTTGTTGAAGCTTTCAAATGTCTATCATTCAAGTTCTAAGTTCAAATCATACTAGTAACTCTATTATTTCTATATCTTCTTGATACTTTGTCACATGTATTGTCATTTCATTTTTTGTACATATATAGAAATTCTAAAATATTGTATTAATTTTAATATATGAATAACTCATTAGATTCATTTGTTAACCATATGATTATTTAAACATCATCACTATACATATTTGAATATTTATCAAAAATATTAAACTTCTAACATAACTCTTCATGATATTCATTGAATATCTAGTAAGTATCCGATAAATATTCAATAACCTTTCACTTGAAGTATGAAACTTAAGGGTATCAATACAACATTGTAATGTTAAAAGAATTAAAATATTATAACATTTTCTCTATTTTTTATATTCAAGAATTTATTTTCATCTTCTTGATTCAATGATTTAAATCTTTATTTCTATATATTCGAAACTTTATTCATTCATCAAAGTTCATACTATGTTAATTTAAGCTTCAATCTCACTATTGTCTCATTAATAAATTTTCATTATCATAATTAATAATTAATTAATAATATAGTTTAAGTTTTAACTCATTAAATAGATTTATATTTGTGTTAAATTAAGCCGAGAAGCCTGTTGCCGGATAAATCCAGCTGTTGGAGCTCGGAGAGGTCGCCGATCGCCGGAGGAATCTCGCCGGAGATCCGATTGTGGCTCAGGTTGAGACTAAACACCTTGCTCGAATTGCCCAGGAGGGGGGGGATCTCTCCTGTGAGGAGATTGGAAGATAAATCCACGTTTCGTAGCTCTGGCAAGCTCAAAAGCACCGAAGGGATCTTCCCGGTGATTCTATTGCCACCAAGCAGAAGAGATTCGAGCTTCACGCATCGTCCCCAATCCGGCGAGAGCTCGCCGGTCAACTGGTTTCCCGTGAGTTCCAGGTACCGCAACTCCGGATGCACGCCAAATGCTTCCGCTATGTCCCCGGAGAAGCGGTTCGAGTGCAGGCGGACCCTCTGGAGCTTCGAACAATTCCGCAGGCAGCTTGGGAGTCGTCCGGTGAAGTTGTTCTCGGATGCAGTGAAGTGTACTAACCCGTAGCCTTTGCACAAGTCTTGCGGCAGTTCGCCGGATAATCTGTTGATCGAGAAGCTCACGTTGGCTAACAGCCCATTCTTCCCCAAATCGGGTGGGATTCTGCCTCTGAAGCTGTTCTTGTAAAGGATTAAGAAATAAAGATTCTTGAGTTTGGTGATGCTTGTGGGAATCTCCCCGCTGAGCTGGTTGGTGTCGAGGTCTATTGACTGGAGAGCCGTCATGTTTCCGATATCTTCTGGGATCGGGCCCGTGAGATTATTTACTTGCAGGTGCAGCTTGGTAAGCCGCTGAAGCTTTACGATGGTAGGTGGGATCTGTCCGCTGAGCGAGTTGTCAGAGAGATCGATCGATTCCAGATTTATCAAATTCCCGATCTCCTGGGGGATGGATCCTGTTAGCTTGTTCGAGTAGAGGAACAGGGTCGTGAGGCTCCTCGCCAGTCCGATCTCGGGAGGAATCAGACTGGTGAAGGAATTATTTTGAATTTGAAATGATCTAAGGAGAGTCCAATTGCGGAAGAAGACCGCCGGAATCTCGCCGGAGAGAAGATTGTCCGAGACGCCGAATTCCGACATTGCCCCAATGCCCGCGAGGGAAAGCGGCAACTCTCCCGTCAGCTGGTTGCCGGACAGTTCGAGGTAGCTAAGGTTCCTGCAACTTCCCAGACCTGTCGGGATGGAAGAATTCAATGCGGCCTTGTTGAGAACCAGGTTCTCGAGCAGCCGGAGATTCCCCAAGGAAGAAGGGATCGGGCCGCCCAAGGGATTTTGGTCGAGCTCTAGTATCCGAAGGCCGGGAATAGAACCCAGAGAAGGCTGAATCCCCCCGGTGAAGTTGTTCGCCCCGAGACTGAGCTCTTCAAGCCTGGTAAGGCTGGAAATGGAGATCGGTATTTGTCCGGTGAACTTGTTCTCGTAGAGGTAGAGGATCTCGAGCATCGTCAGATTTCCGGCCACTGTGTCAAGGATCGGGCCGGTGAATTCGTTATGGGAGAGGTCAAGGTAGCTCAACTTGCGGAGACGGCTTATCTGGCGCGGGACCTGTCCCCCGAGTTTGTTATGGGAGAGGTCTAGCTCGAGGATCTCCGAGAGCTGAGAGATCTCCGGGGGCAGAGTACCGTTGAAAAAGTTGTTGCTCAGATCGAGGTAGGAGAGCTTGGACAGCACCGAGATGTTGGCGGGAATGGAACCAGTCAGCTTGTTGTTGGCGAGGTTGAGGCGAATGAGATTGCGTAACGACGGGAAATCGAGATTAGCCGTGGTTCCAGTAAGCTTATGGTCGGCCAACTTGATCCCGACAACGCTGCTGCGGGCGGAGTTGCAGGTGATGCCGGACCAGCTGCAGGGGCTGGCGGCGGAAGCGTTGAGGCCCAGCCTCCAAGAGGCCAGCGACGGCGCGGGATCCAAGCTGGCCTTCCATCTCACGAGCGCCTCGGCCTCCGTCGCCCCCGCCGCCGCCGGCAGTGAGCGGCACAGAGAGAAGGCGACCACTAGGAGGAGGAACATGAGAAAAGGCGTGGGTTTCTGCTCAATCTGGTAGAACCTCAAGGAGCAATCGTCGTCCTGGTAGCGATTGCTGAGGGCGAATAAACCGTTGTGCTTGCTTATACGGAAGCTTGACTGGTTCACTGGTTGACTGGTTCGATGCGCCCCCCCCCCACCCCCCCGGTAACTTCTCCTTACATGGGAAGGGAGGAAAAGAGGGCACACCATGCGAACGGGTCTTAACTACCAGTGTCGAACCCGGTCTGCTATGACGGAGGGCGGGGTAGAGATTCTCAGGAGGATGACTTTCGAATTAAAGTAATCCGAGGTATAACCTAATCCCATATAAAGACAAGTTATGGGGGCATCGAACCAGTGAACCGAGCTTCTAAACACAGTAATCTGAAAGGCTAATGCGACCAGTGCTGATGAACATCCCACTGGTCAACTCAAACGGCCACTACAGGCGTCGTTTTCTCTGATACACGTTCGACTGCCTAACTTTCAACGAAACGCGTTCGATCATTATCCAATCATAGCCTTTTATTTGAGCACGTCAATTCCTGAATCGATATCGAATCAAATTAAACTACTGAAACTTGACACGTAGAGAGGGACTAATCGCACACGTCATGATCTGAAGGAAATAACAATTCGTCGGTGATAATATGTATACATTGTGAAATGAAGGAAATTGCTGATGGATCTGACGCAGAGTTTATTTAAATGAATCATTTAAGGGAATGGGTTAATCTCACGCTTCATATCGCATACTTCAATCTGAATTTTGGCTGATGAATTTGTTTCTATCCTAATCTGTTTCACGTTGTAAATTTAGAATAACTTTTTGGTTTCGTTATTTCTCGCCTGCTTACTCTAAGTTAAACTATATGCATAGTCATAGAAAATTCGAACTGGTGTTATGGTAATTTTAGCTTAATAGAGTTCAACGAGTGGCTTTAGCTAATTTTGTGGAAAAGCTAATGAGAGGCTATATATGATTGAAAGGGTTCGTTTTCCATGCTACAACTATGGCTTTAGAAGATGTGGAACAAGATGATCAATGTTAAAGTGAATGTTATTATTTAATCATCTAATATGACAGCTCAAATCAGAGTTCACTTGCATGATCTAGTCTTTGCTTCCCGAAATTCGCTACTTGAAATAAAGAACAGTTTGGATGTGATCATGTGCTTGCTTTTTGAAATGTCATATTTTTTTTCCCATTTTTTGCAAAATATGTTGGGACTGAGATTTGTCTACCTAGGAGTCATTTCAAGATTTAACCGGCAGCAAATTTGACTGGCCGGACCATTCTAATCTTCGCCAAGTGAATCATATTTTTTTGCCATACGACTCTTTCATAGTGAAAATGAGACGCATCTATTGCTACAATGCAGATACTTTTTGCTCTCATCGGTGATAAATGTGATATATTACATTGCCTTTTACTATCGGTGATAACTTGGCATTTATGAACTGTATCAAGGTTTACCTTTTTTTTACTGTTTTCTACGTTTATATTCTGAGCGCGAAACTAGCTCCTGGCTTTCATTGCTCTACTTGGTGCTGTTTGGATAATGATTGTGATCATATTAAAATCACAATCCCTTATCAAATTTCCAGGGACAGCATCTGGGAAAAAAATTATAATAAGCTTAGGAAATCATCTAGGAATCAGTTGGCCTCACTAAAATCTTCTAACTTCCTTTTAGAATATTGGAGAGTCATAACATTTAACTCTTGTGGGAGAAATACATTTATTATTGAGCATTCAAGTACCTTTGTCAATACTCGGATTTTTAATTGCACATTAATCATTTTAAGCCTAGTTCTCCATACCAGGTCAAGAAAAAATGACGGAATTAAAGGACACACCCTTGCATGAACTTGATCTGATTTTTCTTAGCCAAATGCCACAATGAACCGTTCCTTTCTGCATGCGTCTAAAAACTTGCATGCATTGGACCATCTCTTCCCCACATTCGCTTTATTTTTCCATTACGCGGGCTACTTTGTAGTGCATCTGAAATTTATTGTTTACTTCCAATGTGGGGTTACTCTATCATGAGACAAGTCTAACAGCAGGGCCTTCATGAAATATGACTATAAAAATAAAATGGCGCAGCAGAAGAGTAAGAACAGAGCAAGAGGTGGTAGGCCCAGTGACAGATGTAGTGAACACCAAGATCTAGAATGTGACGAGAAAGGTGAAAATGAAATAGATGCAATAAATTCTCAGAAGAACATATAATAATAGAGGAGGAGAGAAGATAAATCAATTGGCAAAAACCAATAGAAGAAACGAGGAGAATAAAGTTGGTAAGAAAGAGAATATGGTTCTATTTATAAAGAGAGAGAGAGAGAGAGAGAGAGAGAGAGAGAGGAAAGAAAGTGGAGATCCACAGTAGTAGAGGGTAGTTGAGATTCCGAAAAATAGAGAGACCTAACTGCCCTCAAGACTCTCTCCTATCTGTAATCATAGGCTGAAGAACCTCTAGATTCTCCTCTGACATGGGCTGAGTTCGCCTCGCTTCTGCTCCAACAACGTGCTGAACTAGTCAACCCTTCAGTGACAGATGTGCATGAGGAGGAAATGGAAGGAGATCGTAGATTCCGCCGACAATATCACCTAAAACTTCCACGTAAGCCTCTCCCTCATCCTTAATGGAAACATTGGACTTTGCTCATCCACCTGCCGAAGATCCTTGCCTAACGTGGAGGGTTCTCTGCAGGATCCCGCCAAGAGTTATCTGATTCCGTAAATTCTAGTCTTCTATCATAACTCTCCACCCTTCGTATGTTCTTCCTCGAATTCGTCTTCTTGTTTGCCGGTTCAGTCATTCATTCTTAGCTTCTGAATATCACTTTTCCGGGAACCACGCTTTGAATTATCTTCTTTGAAGAATTTTCAGTGGGGTATTTTTCTTATAGATAAATACAGTTTTTCAATTTGATTACATGATTTCTGGGGGATTTCTTTTTCACATGGATATAATATAAGAAGAAAATTATGACATGAGCTTAGTGTGGATTCAATTTCTAAGGCCGAAAATGTTAATTAATCAGAACCACGTGCATTAAATAATGGGGACCGAATGCCTTCGAGCGCCAAAAAACTGGAAATTGTATACAAAATTAAGGCGTCAGAAGTGGAGACCTTCGCTAGATGGATGAGGCCTTGCCTCTGCTTGCCGTCCGCGCTGATCGTACAGCAGAACTCTGCGATCACCTTCACGGCGTGGGGTCAGCTCCGGCATCCGGCCCGCGGGAAAGAGCTCGCGTGGAGAAAGAAGAGGCGGGTGGCGGCGGAGCGAAGGGAGCTTTTAGGGGGTTACCTGCGAGTGGAGGTCGATGGCTCTGTATCGCATCCGCTTGAAGGTCTTCTTTCCGATCACCTCTCAGGCGAGGACGACAAGCGGCCGGAAGGTGCCCTTCCCTTCGCTCACTTTCTACATCTGTCGAAATGAGCTGTGCAATTCAGAAGGAGCTGAACTTTCATGAGAAGAAAATTCGGAGAATGGGGGAGGATAAAGAAAGGGGGAGTGGGATAAGAAAAGGCTAAATGCTTAAAATACATTGAATACACTACAACCTGAAAATAATTTTAAATTATAAAAAAACTGGGCTTGACTATTAGAAATTGAATGTAGAAAGTATGTTTGATTGCGTTCATTGATATTTGTTGTTCTGAAAATAACATAAATATGTTATGCCTCTTAAAGGAATGTTGGATTCATTTTCTAGAACTTTGTGTTTGAGTGACAAATAAGTACAGAAATGAGGAATTTTCAAGTTCAATTTCTATTTTTATTTAGTCTTATCCTCTATTTCGCTTATTACTACTCCATTTGACCCTTCCACTTATTTAAGATTTACTAACATCAAAAAGGGGGAGATTGAAGGCTTTGGCAAGCCTAAAGTACTTTGATGATGGCTACATACATGTAAAGGTATTTTATTAACCTCACGTGTTATGAAATTCAATATAATTTGAAATTCACTTCAATGATGAGAAGACATTGTGTTAGCATGCAAATTTTGATTGTTATCCTCAGCCTATTCTCGAAGATGATATTATTTACAATCAAATAGCTCACAAACATGAAAAGATAGATGAAAATCAAATGTAGTTAAATTTTCTTCATCAATTCACCTATTCATCAAATATGGGAAAAATGTTCATGGTGAAATTTTATCTTTATTCTCCTAAGATAAAATGAGTGGTGTGTCTAAATCACACAATTGAGCATAGTAGTCAGCTTTAGCCTATCTAGGTTCATACTCAAAACCTTGTAATCAGCCTTGAAGTTCCTAGTGTGCTCAAGATTTTGAGATTTATAGAAATCAATTAAAATAGCGGCTCAAGAAAATTAAGATGGTAAGAAGTTAAAATTATGATAGAATCAATTCAAACTTTCTTGATCTTAGTGTGAGTATAAATCCAATAGACAAAAGGTTCCCTTAGAAAATATTTAATTGATCAAATCTCAACCATCTAAATTGCAACAATTGAAATCATTTTTTCTCTATAGAAAACAAACTAAAGTCTTGCATACCAGCTTGATCCATTTGTGTCTCAATCAGCATTATCTTTCTAGTAGTCCAATTATCAAAACTTTTTTATGCATTCATATGCTCACTAAATCAATTAATTTCATAAATTTATATATAAAGAAAGTTTCTTTATGTAATAATGGGAAGATAACCCTATGTTGCATGTCATGTAAGCGTGATTTACTTATCCCATGAATTTCAAACACTATTTTCTCTTATAAACAATAGAAAAAGAATCAGTGGTAAGTAGATGTAGACTAAGGTTATACCACCATAAAAGGATCTTCATTTCTTATTGGTATGCATTATCTAGAGCTAGTGTTTTAACTCAACTTACTCAACCCAATTGTCTAGAACACCAGAAAATTAGGAATTATTAGAGAGCTAATTCACACACCTCTCCTCTTAGCATGATATTTAGCCAACTTTGGGAACAGCAATCTCTTGTTCTCGCATCATCATAATTGTAATTCTTCCTAGAGTTTTTATTGTTTCTACATAAGATTGTGCCATATTTAAAAATTTGAGAAAATAATGGAGATTTTCAAATCATGAAAATCAATCTATTATTTATCATAAGTTGACGGATGAAATTCATTTTACCCTGATTCCAAAATTAATGAATTGGACGATTTCAAGAGCCAATATTTTCACACGAGATGTAAGATAAAATTAAGAAAATATGGATTTAGCAGCCCTTAAAGCAGCTTGGTGAAAATGTCACGGGGTCAAGGTCGGCCCACCTCGATTCTCGCCCCGAACGGGCCTTGGTCACCCTCCGGCACCAGGCATCTCTTCACGACGCGCAGTAGACTTTTCTTCATCAATGGATAATGTATTCCCTCTCATAGGATCGGAGAAGGCTGAGGTTGAAGGGCCCGCTTCACATTTCCACGCTCGAATCCCCTCTCCATTTAAAGGGGAATGCTCTCCCATGACTTTCCTGTTTCTGGGCCTAATAGGCCACGCTCGATCTGGGCTACCACCCCTTTCTCTGCGTTCTTCTCCGCAACGGGAGAAAGTGCGTCGAATAGTTTCCACGCCCACAACCGTCCTCCGGTCCGCTATCGCCTGATTCGACCCATCCGAAACCCAATCCCCCGCTCCATCGCGTGCTGACGTCTGAAGCCCAGGCCCGGTAATCTTGTTGCTCCGAGTGTTCCGGCCTTTGGACTGAAGCCCAATGAAGGCCCAATGAACGACTGTTTTCTCTTGGTCAAGCCCAGAAGATGAGATGGGCCGAATGAAAAATAGGGTTTTGAGAAAACTAATATTTATTAAAATCGTTGGCAAGGAAAAAGGAAATAACGGGATAACTGGCAAACAGCGGTGGGGAAAAAGAAAAGAAGAACCCTCTCACACCTTGGCAAATATTAATTTTGCACTTTCTGCTCTCGCATATATATGTACAGAAAAAAAGAAAAACAGGAATCCCTACCCCACCGCCCTCCCTTTCCCCCGAGAGCTCATCTCAGCAAATGTCACTCTAGGCCCAAACATGTGGTCAATCGATGCCGGTGGAGAGGAGACTTTTCAAGTCAACGGGGATGCCTGGAACAGACACCTGGACGGCGCTCGCTTCATCCGTATCTCCCCGATCGGCTACTTCTTAAACACGGCGAGCTTGCCGACGGTGATGGTGCCGAACGGCTCGGAGAGGTAAGCTTGGGTTCGGGCAGAGATCTCCTGAGCCACGAACCTCATGGTGGGTCGAGCCTCCGGGTCCTCGTTGGTGCAGGCCAGGGCCATCTTGACCACGAACACGACCTCCTCCGCCAGCTGCCCCGTCGGAGGGGACAGGCGCTGGTCGAGGACGTCCTTCAACAGCAGCGCCTCGCCGTCAGCGGAGGAGGACAGGGAGGCCATCAGGTCCGCCGGGTGCTTCCCCATCATGACTTCCAGCGCCACCACCCCGAAGCTGTACACGTCGCACTTCTCCGTCACCTTCATCGTGAACGCTAGCTCTGCACGGCAACCACCCGGGGAGTCAGGCTTGGTCAACACCAAAGGAACCGACCGCAGGACTTAGGATATGTGCGGGGACGGCGACCGTCTCTTTGGTTTTACCTGGAGCCATGTAGCCGTAGGAGCCGGCGACGCCGGTCCAGTTGGAGGAATCAGCGAACAGGAGCTTGGCGGTGCCGAAGTCGGACAGCCGCGGCTCGAAGTCGGCTTCCAAAAGGATATTGCTTGTCTTCACGTCGCGGTGGGCAATGGGGGGGGAGTGGTCGTGGTGGAGATAGGAGAGGGCGTGGGCCACCCCCCGGACAACTCGGACTCTGGCCCCCCAATCGAACTTCCCGCCCACGCCGCCTTCCTCCCCGTAGAGCACCTTCTGCAGGCTTCCCTTCTCCAGGTACTCGTAGACCAAGTACATGCGGCCGGAACTCGAGCAGGAGCCGTGCAGCTTGACGATGTTCCGGTGGCGGACCTCCGTCAGCGCCCGGATCTCGTTCTCGAAGTTCCTCAGGCTGGCCTCCGGGATGTCTGACGACTCCGCTAGGCTGAGACGTTTGACGGCCACGACGTGCCCCGTGGGGAGCTTCGCCCTGTAGACGGTGCCGAATCCCCCCTTGCCGATGCAGAAGGCCTCAGCAAAGTTGTCGGTGGCGTGGACTATGTCGATGAAGGTGAACTTCCCCTCCCTCTCCCACGCGACCGATTTGTAATTCTCCCCGCGGTGGCCGACCGCCTCGAGGACATTCCGCCCTCGCCTACGGCGGTAGAAGAAGATCACAGCAGTGAAGACGACGATGACGACAACCGAGAAGGCCACGGGGACAGCCACGGCGACGGTGATCTTCCAGCTGTTATTGTCTTTCTTCCTACTGGAATTAGTTTCACAGGCGGGCAACCCGGCGATGTCTCCACAGAGCGAGTTCCCAGCGAAAGTCTCGGCAGAGGCGTTCCGGAAGACGTCCCAGCTCGGTACGCGTCCCGTCAGATTGTTGTAGGAGAAATCCACAGAGTTTAAGCTTACCATGCCGGAGAAACTGTTCGGTATTGAGCCGGAGAGGTGATTGTGGGATACGTTGAGGACCTCCAGATTGATCAGCTTGCCTAAGTTAGATGGTAGGGGGCCGGAGAGGGAATTATTGCTGAGATCCAGTAACATCTGCAGACTGACCAGGTTCCCGAGCTCATCTGGTATTCTTCCCGTGAGATTGTTGTCGCTGAGATCCAGCGCCTGTAGTTTATCGAGTGCGCCGAGCTGGGCAGGAATTAAGCCGAGAAGCCTGTTGCCGGATAAATCCAGCTGTCGGAGCTCGGAGAGGTCGCCGATCGCCGGAGGAATTTCGCCGGAGATCCGATTGTGGCTCAGGTTGAGACTAAACACCTTGCTCGAATTGCCCAGGAGGGGGGGAATCTCTCCTGTGAGGAGATTGGAAGATAAATCCACGTTTCGTAGCTCTGGCAAGCTCAAAAGCACCGAAGGGATCTTCCCGGTGATTCTATTGCCACCAAGCAGAAGAGATTCGAGCTTCACGCATCGTCCCCAATCCGGCGAGAGCTCGCCGGTCAACTGGTTTCCCGTGAGTTCCAGGTACCGCAACTCCGGATGTACGCCAAATGCTTCCGCTATGTCCCCGGTGAAGTGGTTCGAGTGCAGGCGGACCCTCTCGAGCTTCGAGCAATTCCGCAGGCAGCTTGGCAGTCGTCCGGTGAAGTTGTTCTCGGATGCAGTGAAGTGTACTAACCCGTAGCCTTTGCACAAGTCTTGCGGCAGTTCGCCGGTTAATCTGTTGATCGCGAAGCTCACGTTGGCTAATAGCGCATTCTTCCCCAAATCCGGGGGGAGACTGCCGCTGAAGTTATTACTGTAGAGGTATAAAACGGAAAGATCCTTGAGTTTGGTGATGCTTGTGGGAATCTCCCCGCTGAGCTGGTTGGTGTCGAGGTCTATTGACTGGAGAGCCGTCATGTTTCCGATCTTTTCTGGGATCGGGCCCGTGAGATTATTTATTTGCAGGTGCAGCTTGGTAAGTCGCTGAAGCTTTACGATGGTACGTGGGATCTGTCCGCTGAGCGAGTTGTCAGAGAAATCGATCGATTCCAGATTTATCAAATTCCCGATCTCCTGGGGGATGGATCCTGTTAGCTTGTTCGAGTAGAGGAACAGGGTCGTGAGGCTCCTCGCCAGTCCGATCTCGGGAGGAATCAGACCGGTGAAGGAATTACTTTGAATTTGGAATGATCTAAGGAGAGTCCAATTGCGGAAGAAGACCGCCGGAATCTCGCCGGAGAGAAGATTGTCCGAGACGCCGAATTCCGACATTGCCCCAATGCCCGCGAAGGAAAGCGGCAACTCTCCCGTCAGCTGGTTGCCGGACAGTTCGAGGTAGCTAAGGTTCCTGCAACTTCCCAGACCTGTCGGGATGGAAGAATTCAATGCGGCCTTGTTGAGAACCAGGTTCTCGAGCAGCCGGAGATTCCCCAAGGAAGAAGGGATCGGGCCGCCCAGGGGATTTTGGTCGAGCTCTAGTATCCGAAGGCCGGGAATAGAACCCAGAGAAGGCTGAATCCCCCCGGTGAAGTTGTTCGCCCCGAGACTGAGCTCTTCAAGCCTTGTAAGGCTGGAAATGGAGGCCGGTATTTGTCCGGTGAACTTGTTCTCGTAGAGGTAGAGGGATTCGAGCATTGTCAGATTTCCGGCCACTGTGTCCAGGATCGGGCCGGTGAATTCGTTCTGCGAGAGGTCAAGGTAGCTCAACTTGCGGAGACGGCTTATCTGGCGCGGGACCTGTCCCCCGAGTTTGTTATGGGAGAGGTCTAACTCGAGGATCTCCGAGAGCTGAGAGATCTCCGGGGGCAGAGTACCGTTGAAAAAGTTGTTGCTCAGATCGAGGTAGGAGAGCTTGGACAGCACCGAGATGTTGGCGGGAATGGAACCAGTCAGCTTGTTGTTGGCGAGGTTGAGGCGAATGAGATTGCGTAACGACGGGAAATCGAGATTAGCCATGGTTCCAGTAAGCTTATGGTCGGCCAACTTGATCCCGACAACGCTGCTGCGGGCGGAGTTGCAGGTGATGCCGGACCAGCTGCAGGGGCTGGCGGCGGAAGCGTTGAGGCCCAGCCTCCAAGAGGCCAGCGACGGCGCGGGATCCAAGCTGGCCTTCCATCTCACGAGCGCCTCGGCCTCCGTCGCCCCCGCCGCCGCTGGCAGTGAGCGGCACAGAGAGAAGGCGACCACTAGGAGGAGGAACATGAGAAAAGGCGTGGGTTTCTGCTCAACCTGGAGGAACATCTAATCTGTCAGTAAACGTCGCTCTGATGGTAGTAGGCGGGGATTAAGCAACCGCAGTACCACCGAGGAGGAGGCTGTCAGCAAGCCTGGGAAGCAGGGAAGGAAGGAAGGAAAAAGGCGAACCCTTGAAAAGGGCAATAAACGCCGATCGTGTGGATGTCAATCCCTCACACGTTGGAGACGTGATATTCTCGGCATGGGGCCCTCTCCTTTGACAACTTTTGTCAAACGGTGTTTTAATTCCCTTAAAAATCGTCCGAGCAATTGATGAAACCACCGCGCTACGGCCGTGGGCGGGGAAGGGGGGCGTCGTTGTACTAACTAAATGAAACCCATTAAATTCGGTCAGAAGAACGGAGTCAGACGAACGGGATGTCTCAGAGTTTGACTAAGAAATTGAAGGAATCCAGGGGTTACCTACCGTTTATAAGTTCGCCTCTAGTCAACTCAAACAGCCCTTACAGCCATCGTTTTCTATGAGACGCGTTCCGGGCCGCTGACTTTCAACGAAACGCGTTCGATCCGGGGGATTATCGGATAAGCTTGCGCCCATTACCAGGATCACAGCCGCCGCACCGGCGACGGCATTTACCATATTTTCAGCCAGCCTCTTATTTGCGCGCGTCAATTCCGGGATCAGTATGCAGTCTAATCAACTACTAACACGTAATGCATTATAGCGGACCCACCTCACACGCCCCGTCTCCACCATGCAGAACGCCGCCCGTTCTTCTTCATGTGAAAGGCCGTAATATCCTATGCTCTTCGGGGCTCCACACCTGCTTCATCACGAGAGAGACAGATACAGATACGGATGCACTACGGATAAATCCACGACTGGAGAACTGAGGAAAGACAGTGAGAGAAAGCGAACACTGGGATGTTGACGAGAAGAAAGGAGACGAAGTCGGGGGATGTTGACTCTTACGCATGTGCAGCTAAACGGTCGTCTCGCCCGGTCCCACTGCGTCACTTCTGAAACCTCCGGAGCTGGCTCGGAGGTGGGTGGAAGGGCCCGAGGCGCGAGCCGACGGGGAGAAAACTTTGGCCTAGAAAAGTCGTCGCCAGGGGACTGCGTCTGTGGCTCGAGTCTGCTCATCCTGGACCAACGAAGCCAATCGAGAAAAGCCCCAATAACTTACGTGGAAAACGGGGCCTCGCCCTCCCCGCCATTGAGACGATCAGATTCGGCGAACTCGCGGGACGCCAACCGACGTGATGCGGAGGAGGAAGGCCTCTGGATCTTAATCTCCTACTGCATCACTCTACGGGACAAGACAGATTGTGGTAGAGGAAGTAAGATCTACAGGAGAGGAAGGAGAAAGAGGAGGGGTTCGCGGGGATTCGACGGCTGCTCGCCGTCTATATGCTCTGAAGTAATCAGCTTTAATCCATCTAGAGTCATACTAGAACCTTGTAATCAGTTTTAAAGTTCCTAGTGTCCTCAGGAGTTACAGATTTATATAAATAAAGAATGAAAAGAAAGAGTCAAGAAAATTAAGATGACAAGAGGTCAAAATTTGCGTACAATCAATTCAAACTTTCTTAATCTTCTTACGGTTTTAAATCCAATGGTCACAGGGGTACTCTTAGAAAATATTTAATTGATCAAATCTCAACCATTTCAGTTCCAACAATTAAAAGTATTTTTATTTGATAAAAACCCTATATTGAAGACTTTCGATATATATATATATATATATATCTTCCACACCAATTTGATCCATTTGCATCTCAATCAGCATTATCTTTCTAGTAGTGCAAGTATGACAAAACGTTCTGAAAGATTCATGTACTCACAAAATCTATTAGTTTTATGTGTTTATGTGTAAATAAATAAAAAGAACGTGTATTTGTGTATCCAGTTGGAGATAATACTATGATATAGGTCATGCACGGGTAATTTACTGATCTCATAAATTTCAACTACTACTTTCTCTTATAAAATGGTAGAAATCTACAATAAGAACCAATGGCAAGCAGAGTAAGGTTGAACCATTTTAAAATAATGTCTCTATTTCTTATTGTTGTGCATCATTTACGCCTATGTGTTAACCTAACTTTGCTTGCTGATTTAGCACAGATGTAAAAATATCTAGAACATGACAAACTATGAATTCTTTAAACACTTAATTTACATACCTCTATTATTGGCATCATATTTAGCCTACCTTGAGGCCAGCAACCTCTTGCTTTTGCATCATCTTATATGCAATTCTTCTCAGAATTTTTATTTTTTCTGCATAAGATTGTGTGAGATTTAAAAATCTGAGGAAATAACATAGATTTTCAAATCATCAAAAATCAATCTGTTACTTTCAACAAAGAGAGTATTGATATGTGTGTGTGTGTGTGTTGCTTGGTGATTTTTAGGTATGTTACTTGTTGAAGCTTTCAAATGTCTATCATTCAAGTTCTAAGTTCAAATCATCCTAGTAACTCTATTATTTCTATATCTTCTTGATACTTCGTCACATGCATTGTCATTTCATTTTTTGTACATATATAGAAATTCTAAAATATTGTATTAATTTTAACATATGAATAACTCATTAGATTCATTTGTTAACCATATGATTATTTAAACATCATCACTATACATATTTGAATATTTATAAAAATATTAAACTTCTAACATAACTCTTCATGATATTCATTGAATATCTAGTAAGTATCCGATAAATATTCAATAACCTTTCACTTGAAGTATGAAACTTAAGGGTATCAATACAACATTGTAATGTTAAAAGAATTAAAATATTATAACATTTTCTCTATTTTGTATATTCAAGAATTTATTTTCATCTTCTTGATTCAATGATTTAAATCTTTATTTCTATATATTCGAAACTTTATTCATTCATCAAAGTTCATACTATGTTAATTGAAGCTTGAATCTCACTATTGTCTCATTAATAAATTTTCATTATCATAATTATTATTAATTAATAATATAGTTTAAGTTTTAATTTATTAAATAGATTTATATTTGTGTTAAATTATGAAAAGTAGTTTTTAGTTAGTTGACGTAAAATTTTGACTAATTATATGATTTTATGTGAATTTATATAATTTTATAATCATGTTTTAAGATAAACAAATAAAAATAAAAATAAAATAAAATATTAATAAAGGGAGAGCCTGAAAGTAGGTTGAAAACATAGTTAGAAAGAGCCGCAAGTAATGAGTCGACAAGACACGTGCACATCATGTCACCCTCCTTCCACGTCACTAGTGGGTAGCCAAATGTTGAACAAAAAGTAGTTGTACACATGTGAGAGTATTAATGACATAATCATGTGAGAAGAAAATATCATTATGTCATATAATAGTATTTATCTTACTATCTTACTATTTCCTATATATATAGGTGATCAATAAAAGTTTAAATTCTACTAGAACTAAAACTTATATTTTTTATATAATTAAATTATGATTTTCTTGTAGAGTGTCAATGATTAAATTATCAAAATCATTAAAAAATATCTGTCCAATTCATTGATCATTATATTAAATTATTGAATAATTATGAATAAAAAGATTATTATTAAATTAATTGACACAACGTTCTAGATTCTATGACCGATGTGATAAAAGATCCTCATCATCCTCAACCTAGATCTGATAAAAGATCATCCCTTTCAATCTACAATGTTCTAAATTCTATGGCTGATGTGCATGAAATCCAGATGCTGAGGCCATCGTTACCCATAAAAATCACTATAAATATATGGTTCATCTCAGGAAAGTACATGATACTGGAGCGCAATTTGATGTCGGCTGCCGCGGATGTAACCAACATGAGAAGCATAAAAATATGATCTTGGAGTACAATATGGATGTCTCCTCATTGTGCTGCAAAATACTAGCTGGAGAATCGATGAGATTCCAAGGATGAATCCCCAAAGAGCTGTAAATCGATTATTGTCGGGAGAAAATAAAATGTTTGTCAAAAGCTAGAGATCAAAACCTGTGGATCGGGTCTCAACCCTGCTCCATCTCTGCAGCCTCTCTGGCCGCATCAGCCTCGATCTTCTTCTTGTTCCGCTCGAGCGCAGCGGCCACCTCCTCGGGCATGTACTTCTCGTCGTGCTTGGCGAGGACCTCCGTCACCTTGAAGAAACAGACCCCGTTTCTGGCCTTCTCCGACACGGTCGAAGTCCTGTCCGCCTTCCCCTCTCCGTCCGCCTCGAACCGCTTCAGGAAACCTTCGACGACCGCGGAATGCCCCTCGCGGAATAGATCGGGCAGCGAGCCCTCGAACCGGACGAGGATATCCGTCACCAGATCGGTGATCACGAACTCCATCTCCGGCGAGGATGCCGACGGGTGCACGACGCTGCCCTCCACGACGAGACCCCCCAGCCGGAAGCGGTTCTTAGAGGGGTTCGAGACGAATTTCTCGATGGCTTTGTTGGGGGTGATGTAGAAGACCAATTGATCCTAGAAATTGTTCAGCACGATGATGATGAGGCCCGCGACGCAGTTGAAGGTGAGGGCGTACGTTCATAGCCGCCGGTTCTGGAGTTGCCGCGCTCGTGCTGCAATGTCCACGGCCTTCGGCCGCGCCGGCTGGCGGTGGAGAGAGGAGAGGTATCAGGGGAAGATGACCCCGCCTGGTCCGGCGCCGGGAACCGGCGATGCGGCGGCAAGGTACAGTGGAGATGTGGGCGAGATCCCCGGACGGAGAATGGCAGTGCGTAGGGCGGCGGCGAGGCGAGGGCCGAAGCGGCCGATAACCCTGCGGGCCATGGGCAATCCAGCGAGCCGTGATCGGGCGCAAAAAGCTTGGCAAAAGTTTCTGAAACTGAGATCCGCAGTTTTATTTGACGTCTCGGAATGGAGGTGCTCGTGTCTGAACTCAGTACCTGCCGGCCATTCATTCCTGTCCGGCGTTGACAAAATGGATCATAGGACGGCAAATGGAGTTCAAGGAAGTGTCCTTGGGTGTTCATTTGGTCAACGCCGGACAGGAAAATAGAAAAATCAATCTGCTTGCTGTCTTGCCCGTGTTTGTTATTTTCTCTTTGGTGGAATTAATGATCAATCTTATGGTAGCAATTTCTTCTTCTTTTTTTTTTTCCTTCTCAGATTTGCACTTTTGATCAAAAAGGTACTTTTGCTCCTATGATAGTAGATGCAGATATGACCATGTTAAAGCCTCTCATCAGGCTCCTGTTTCATTGTCACCGAATGGGACTCCTCTGGGTAAAGAGCCAGCTGCCACACAGAATCACCTTTCAGGCACTGCTTCATCCAGCAGATCTCTTACCTCTGTTATGAAACCAGTTTGGGCCCTAGAAGCCCAAACATCTAGTTTTTCAAGAAATGAGAATAGAGCCCATATTGTGGCTGTTGATCCAACGGAAAAGCCCATATGCTCATTTGCAGCTGCTGGTTACTGTCCCCATGGTGACAAGTGTCCTCACATTCATGGCGATTTGTGTTACATATCGTCCAGATGAAAGAGAGGAACACATGAGAATGTGCCAACAAAATAGCAAACACCTTGAAGCATTGAGGCGCAGCCAAGAGATAGAATGCAGCGTGTGCTTGGAACGCGTTCTGTCTAAGCCAGCGCCTTCTTAGGATAATTCTAAAATCCCTCTGTACTCTTGACTATAAATAAATAAACGTTCCATTGTGTTATGCTGATGATGAAAAAAATAAAAGTTTCAGATACTATATAAATTCAACTCCCATTACACTGTCCATTAAGATGATAAGTTAATCAAGGTGCTGTGTCCCGAAATTTAATTTTTCCTCCCTTCTGTACTTGTTAGGACTAGTTTCTTTTGTCTCAATACGGTGTAATCAATCTGTGCTTAATCTCTACAGACCCAGGTGTCTCGTACACTTTGTCACACAGAAAAAGTGACAAAAGATTTAGCATTAAGGATCTCAGCAGTCTTTGTAACCAATTAACTAGCCATTTTTCGGCAAATGAAAATATAAGACAAAGTATAAATTAAACGATTACCATCATTTTCTCAAACTGGAGAAACAAAGTGGTATGCCTTTTTTATCGTTTGTCCATACAAATACTGGATGTCAATCATAGATGGCTGGGCAGAATCAGTAGTTGATTCATGCATTTGGTATTTATGTTTTTAAGATCTAGGCTGTCTTTTCGTTGCAGGGTGATCTTCAGATCATAGTTCCTACAGGCTGTTATTCCACATTTTTGAGGAAAAATAAGAAGTTAAGTAAAGACGATTAAAAGAATATTAATCGGAAAATATGCATCATAATTCAACTACGTGATTCAGGTTACACAGTAAAGCTTTCTAAAGTCTATTTTGCGATTACCTTTCTTCTTTGAATACATTTCTCCTAGCTCTTGCAAGTGCTGTTTCTGTTAGGGTAGGATGATCCCCATAAAGCTTTATTTGCCCAGTCTCCGCCATTGCCTTGGCAAAAACCTGAAAACCAACTCCAATGTTAGAAACTGCAAAATCTGCTAGTCAATGCCCTGAAAAAAGAGCTAAATTATAAGTGGAAAAAATCACGAATATCACAGCATTCCAAATCAGAGGGATGTTTCCAATCAAATGAGTAAACAACAATTGAGTTTTTAGTTTGAACTGAACAATGTAAACTATAGAAGGCACAAAGAACACAAAAGAACTGAAGATATACAGATACAAAAGTTACATAAATACACCAGAGTCCTCTTGCTTTATAATATTTTTATTAATGAGAACTAACCGTGTCCACATCAGGACGCCGTCTTTGCCAACGTGACCATTGCTCCTTTTCAGGTTTCCGCCAGTTCTATCACAGTTCTTCACCTGTTCTAGGCTCTTCTATTGGCTTCTTCACAGCTGGATCAACAAAAGGATGTGGACTTCCTAGTTTTTTGTGCTGTTCATAGGTAGTGAGATTATCTTCTTTAACTTCTGTTTGATAAATTACATATTCATCAGATGGAACTATAGATTCATCAACAACATCCTCTGAGCTTTCCAGAAGATTTGTAGTCAAGTCTGTAGCCTCTGTACTACCTTCTGAATTAGACTCTGTACCAGCCTCTGTGATGGCCTCTGTACAAGCTTCTGTAGATCTGAAGCAGAAACACGCCCCTTATACTTTCTTCTGCTCCCCGGTTTCTTCCCGTAGGAAGGCTTTCCCTCAGAAGCACCAACTGGTTCAGGAGCCTTGGCAGCATTCACACGATTAACTGTGCCTTCAGGCCAGTACTCACTACCAGGTATACTAGCACGTGCACCAGACGCTGGATCAAGCTGCCCAGAAGTTGAATCCATATACATATAGTATGGAGGGCGTTCAATTGAAGCCGGATCGATTTTTCTATCCTCAGCTGAACACTTTATAGCAGTGGATAATCTGACAGGCCTTCTGGATGAGAATCCTTGAGGTATAATAAATCGTATCTTTCTTGATGTCAAATCATCTATAAAAGATATCTGAAGCTTCTGCAAAAGCCAAACAGCATACGTATCATTATCAAGTTAAATAAAGATAAGAAAAAAGGATCGGAATGATTGACCGACCAAGTCCCTAGAAAAAAGAAACTGAAAAAGAAAACGTAGATGATTAGCACTGACTGAAAGTGCCTATCCAAACCAATATATGATAAGAACATGGACGTCATATACTTCCATTTTTTTGAATAATTAATTGGGTACAACAGTATCATTTATACAAAGATGGTAATTTTTGTTTCGGATTTTTAGGGATAAAGATACAAAGTGAGGGAACGTATCAAAAAAGTTTCCCAAATTTGGTTGTTACTCGATAGGATTCACCCAGATACAATTTATCTATAACTCTGTTCTCAGAGTTGAAGGTAGGACGTCTCCTAAAAAGCATTTAGTTTTCTTTTACTGTTTCTGCTCCCGGTACTGTCTGAACAGGAAAATATCGGTTTCATTTGCATCAGCCACAGTAATAAGCATTATTCATGAGACAAGCTGGAGATTCTCCAAACACCCGAAGTTGACTTGAAACTTACCTTGTAATAAATGTTCCAAAAATAATGGCAATTAATGATTTAGAAACATAATTTTGGTGATGCTCAGAGTTCTTTGAGCTTATTTTTAAATTTTTAATTGTTAATCATTAATTAACAGCCTCTTGTGACATTTAGGCCTCAATAAATAACCTAATATGGTTAATTGATATAGTTTCTCATAAATAACTTAATAAATTATTAATTTTCACTATTTTCTCTAAAACTAAAAATTCAAAAGAAAAATCAATTTTGATGGATTCTAAAGATAGTATAAGTCAAACTGAGAATAATCTTATGGCCATGAAAAATTATTATATTCCTGATTCATATCAACGAGCATTCAATATTAGAGTCCTATTAGCACCCACAGTGAAATTCAAAATAAATTTAATATTTTTTCAAATACTTCCTAATTTTCATAGAAAAAAATTATATGGTCTTTGATTTAGTTAATCTCTCTGAATTTACATCTGAAATTATTCATATGAAATTATTTCCTCATACACTTAGGGACAAAGCTAATTATTGATTATCCACATTAGAAAGAGAATTAATTAGTTAGAAAGACATAGAATATGTTTTTCTTCGAAAATTTTATCCCTTAAGTAAAACTCAAAACATGAAAAAAGATATATAGAGTTTTGTTCAAAGATCAAAAGAAACTTTGTATGAGACATAGGAAAAATTTAAAGATTTACTTAGAAACTATCCTCATCATGCTATACCTAAGTGACAGCTGAATAAATTTTTTTATGATGGATTATTAGAACCACGTAAAAATATGATTGATTCTATATGTGGAGAAATTTTTATGGACTTTATGAGAATTTAAGTGAAAATTCTAGAGATCAAGCCTCTTTTGAGTTATATGACAGAGATAAAAAGAGATGAATTTATGAATTACATCATCAAGATGATTCTAATTTAAGAAATGAGGTTAATCAGATTAATCAAAGATTAGAAAAACTTGATTTACTTATTGACGATATTAGAAAGCCTCATAACCCTCAATTTAATTTAAATAGTTCATGTATGATAAAAACGATCACTTCAAATTTCAATATTATAATTTAGATGAATCATTTCAGTCTAGGCAAGAGCAAGTGTAAGTAGCCCATGATTTTATTGAAAGTAAGGAATCTTTTTCTAATTTTTGTAGCCTCAATTAGAGGAATATTTTTTTGTGGAGAGATCCAAATAATATTCAAAATCTAAAAGCACTTAGACCCAATTCAAATTCTGAATTTCATCTAAAATAAGAACATAAATTTAAAAAGATCAGCCCTTTTAAATTCATTTTGATTTTATAAATATGATGCAGCAAATGACCCAAATGATGTAACAAATAATGAACCAAATGATGTTGCAGCAAATGATCTTTTTATCCATAATCATTTAATAATTTTAGTAATGATGCTCCACGAATCATGTCGACGAGATTTTCGTCGATGATTGAACAATTCTGACGACTTAATCCTTCACGAGTAATCTGTAAGAAAATCATGATTTAATCAGATAAAAGTATGAATTTTGACTTTGGTAGTATCCAAACCCTCACCGATCATCCGCTTGCATGAGAGAGACTAATATTCTGATGTCATCAAGGTACCTCCTTCTGATAAACAAGGGGTATTTTAGGTACAAACAAATTATTAAAATATTATAGGGGAGATGTGACCAAGGTTTAATTCCACATCGCTTATACGTCGAATTTTGAGACAAATATATAGTCATATGAGATTTGAGAATCAATGAGTCCCTTTCTCAAGTGTGTACGACCACTCTTTGCCCCATGTCTAGCTGGCCACACGTGTGCCCCTACCGTTCCATCCTTAGCTGCTCGAGCCCATGCTTGCAACTCCACCTAACTGTGCTTCCGACCTGCTTGCAAGCCCAATTAACCAGCGGATTCTCTTCTTTTTCAATCTTTTTATTTTATTTTATTTTTCTTCATTTATTTCTAAAATAGGATTATAAAAATTATATAAATTCACATAATTAGCCAAAATTCAGATTAACTAACTAAAAATTACTTTTCAAAATTTAACACAAATATAAGTCTATTCTTCATGAGTTAAGGCTAAAACTATATTATTAATTAATTATTAACTCATGATAATAAAGACTTATCAAATATCAAACCACTCAAACACTAAATGAGCCTTCAATTCTTTGAGGTGTTAATAGATATCAAAATTATTCTCCCCCAACTAAGATATGAATCATCAAATTCTCTCATAACTCAATTTGAAACTAAGCAACATCAAACTTTTGAAACTTTCCTACTTCTAAAAGACTGAATTATAACTATTAGTTTACAAAATGTTGGGAGTAGAAATCATTCACCCTTAAACATTGCTTTTCAATCTATATTCTTTTCATCTAGAAGTATGGATGGTCAAGGTTTTATATGGGGTTATTTTAATCTATGTAGTATTGATGTCATTAGTTTTGATACTACAAACAAAAAATTATTTACTTAATATCTGTTGAATATTTAATATTTTTTATATGAACTTGTGTTAAAATTTTAATATTTGTATAAATTATTTAATATACATAATATTAATAATGTCATGATCATATGGTTAATAAATGAATCCAAGAAAATAATCATTGGAATCTTTATATGCTAGAAGAATTAATGCAACATCTTAGATTTTGTAAATAAGTACATGAAATCAAGTGCCAATGTAAGTGATGAAATATCTTGAAATTTTGAAAACATCAAAGTCATTGATAATTATTAAACCCCAATAAATGAAAAAAAGTCAAAAAATTTAGTCATATAATATTTGAAAAATCTCATAATATCATAGTCACTTGTAAGATTCAAATTCGAAACTTATATGTCAACACAAATTAAATTGTAATGATGAAATACTTAGAAAGTCATAAAGTAATAAAATCACATGCAAGATTGAACTTGAAACTTGGAAAACGACATGTCAGAAGCTTTAGCAAAAAGACATTTAGAAATTCACAAAATATCATGTTAGGTACAAGTCTCTAATATAAAATCCATATGATGAAAAGTTGAAAATTTCAATGAGAAAATATCTGAAATGTCACAAGAAAAAGGTCATTGCCACATATTCTAGATGATGACATGTAGGTAGATTACCTAGAAATAGCAATAGACTAAAGAAGCTTATTTGGACTTGACTCAATAGTAAAGATGTTCATTTATAAGAAACAAATCTTCAATCTAAGTTTCAAATTAAACAAATGTGAAAATATTGAGCATCAAAATACTAAATAAACAAAAGTCATTAGTACATATTATGAGAAATGCAAAGATTTTTTAATATATGTGATCATTTTCCAAGACATACAATGACTAAAGAAAGTTAGAAAATAAAAAAAAACTTGTGAAAAGAAGTATGAATGAATACAAAGTTCAGTTACCTCAAGTTTCATATTCTAATGTCT